CCGGGACTGCAGGGAACGATCGGCGCTGGCTTTCCTCCCCTCGCGAGCGACACACGTGGCTGCCAACTCCGGCCTCATTTGCATGCGGGAAACCTTAACCCCTTCGGCTCCCGGCAGACCAGGCAGCTCCCGCTGCTTCTTCTCCCGGAAAGAAGAGCCGGCGCCGGCGCCGTTTCTTGCGTCGCTGGCGGGGATCCTGGGATTGCGGGCTACAAGGAAAAGCCCGGGACTCTTCGAGACCGGAGATTTGGTCTCGCTTTTTACAGCTGAGTCTGAGGAAAAGCAGCCGCGTTTGGGAATCCGCTTGAAGGGGGCGAACTTTTTGCGGATTGCATTAAATGGAAGCGTCGTTTTAAGCACCGTTTCCATCGTTCCTGCCCAGACTCTTATAAATCAATTCTCCAAGCCGGTCCTGGTGGAAACGGGGTTCAGTCCTTGCCATTCATTTCTCCCTATCTGGCCTGTTCTGTTTGGCCTGGAAGCGACCAGCAACGTATTCTGAGATGTCACATCGGACCATCCTGCGAAACCACCATTCAACAAGCGACCGAACCCCCAAAAACTGCCACGCCGGTTGCCTGCTGCTTCCAGGCAAAATTGAGGTTCCCTAGATATCCCAGAATCAGAAGCGATCGCCGTGTCGGTCTAATGAAGACACCTGCCGAATTGTTTCTTTCACCCACTGCAAAAGTTTTTTGCAACAGTAATGGAATTTGCATTCAAGTATACACAGCTGCTCAGTTCGGGGTGTGAACAGCTTCCTTTTAAACAGAGCAGTTGATCGATATTTCTGAATTGGAACCTTGGTTCAGTTGACAAGCTTCAGTTAATAGACATTTCGCTTTTGAAAGGGTTAAGGGGAGTTTAGGGTGGGTGCATATGTGTCCATTTATGACCGCTCTCCTAAGAATTCTTCCTTGGAAAGAAGTTCTATTAAACTCAAGCTTATTTCTGCATAAGGACAAGGTGCCTATTTGTTGATAGCCAGAAAACGTGCAAAACTCAATTCGGTGCGTAGGTCTGAACGAGGCAGTCGGAACTAACAGCTGCTAATCCCTGTACTTCTCTAGGCGGAGAATTATTACAAATACATTCTGCCCATGTTAGCGCATAGTCACCGGCTACCTTTTTCCTTTGGTGTCTAGATTTCTAGCTGAGATTCTGCTATTCCCTTAAGTGCTGATTTCCAAAAAAAGATGTTATGGTCCAGGAAATAATTGAGGCAGAGCCCTACAAACAGAGTAGAGATCCAGCGTGGAAGCCGATTTAACGCAGTGGTGAGAATAATATGGATCCTAAAGCCTAAGTTTCTCAGCAGGAATGCAGCAGAAAATAGGAGAAAAGATCGGGACTAAGAGCCTATTTTGCCGGAATCCTAGACCAAGAACGCTTCCTTGGCAGAAGCTGACTGATAATAAGAAGCTGAAGTGAACTCAAGAAGTTATCGATCGGTCCCTTGCTAAAGTTCTTGTTGCTGGGCGATCCGGGCGGACTGCGGATGAGACGCGCAGGGAAGGAAAGAAGGCAGACTCGATGTGGGAAGAGGCTGCTGAAACCGGCTGAGCTCCTAAAAGATAGAGGAATCCTTTGGTGCCTATTACCATGCGGTGGGGAGGGGGGACGGTTGTATTTTTCCAACACAGGCAGCCATTTTTCCTTTGGTACCATTAAATTATTACAGATTTTTCAGCCGCCTTCCTCGGTCGTTTCCTATCAGCTGGCAACACATCATCTCAGCAGGCTTGATTCTCTCCAACTTTTGGAGGATTGCGTATAAGATTAAGTCACATCGGATGTTAGTGACGGAACAGCGAGTCTATGTCAGCATGCCAGCAGAAGTTGGGGCTTCTACTGGACACCGGGGAAAAAAATCTTTACCCTACCTAAATTACTCCACTTGGGATGAATCAGTTAAAAGAAAGATTTGGGGGAAGAGATGAATGAAGGAGTCTGGTGTAGCCGTTTTAAAGATGTGCCATTTGGCATTCAAATCATTCTGCCATTTCATTTTGTTTGGGCTATTTGGAAGCGAAAGGGATTTCAGCGCGCCTTTCTCTCATCAGCTCCAAAGCCATTAGATTACCTGGCAAAGCCCTCTCTCCGATTTCAAGCTGCGCTAAGAATGTTCCACGTCTACCTTTCCTTTTGCCCACAGCTGACGAAATCAAGCCGGTCCGCCCGAAGAAAGAATAGGTCTATGACGTTGAATTCAGACATACTTGCAAACGGTATCTATAAACAGTGGAGGAAATCTTATAGACCGCAAGGCTAGAGCTACTCACGCACAAGCTTCCCTGAGCTCAAATGGGCGGATTCCCAGGGGCTGACTTGAATACTTCATCAGCCTCCCCCTCCCCCCCCACCCACCATCCACCTGAAGCATCCTCACCGCTAGATAGCACTCAGGTCAGAATCTTAAAATGTGCCAAGGGCCCTCAGATTTGAGATGCATCTATGGAAGGTATTGCGGACGAACGCTGGAGAGAGAAAAGGGCAGCCCACGTAAACTCAGCCTCTTGAGAGTGAGACGGGACGGGGTAGACATTCACGCTGATTTGAGATGATTGACTATTGCAGTCTTGGGCAGCCCAAATTCACACTCTATACATTTTTGCAAGGGCCACAGGAAGACATCCTATATAAGTCACCTACCCGCTCTGTTTCTACCAAACTTTCTGATTTTCGGGTTTTTTGACATTTCCCCCCAGTTAAATTAAGTTTTCAGATAGCAGAACGGTATTGAATTGTGATAGACGACAGTAGGGGGCGCACTGCCGAGGAACTAGAATTTAAAAAAAAAAAAAAATCCAGCCATTCGCACGGAGAAATATATGTATGGAAAGGGGGGAAATGAAGAGTGAATTCACCATTTTAAACGCCCCATCTTATGTTTTGAAGCCAAAGGGGCTTAATAGCTAATGAGGAATGGTCGAAACCCAGTTATTTTTCCAGTGGCTGAATGTGTTGGAAAAGCAGCGGGCGTCTCCGCCCTCCGCTCCAGACGCCTGCTTCCCGGCGACTCCTTTTCCCAACATAGATGCAGATCAGGGGTTCCTTGAAGCGAGATCAGCCTGGATTCAAGTAATTCAGTACTTAAATGTCCACGGATTCTATTTTTCAGATGGTATGGAAAGGACCATTCCCTTACTATTGAAAATCCGCCCCTTTATTTAGATTAATGCGCTTTCTGGACTCTGTGTGGATTCCACCTGATCGCAGACCCGAAGCTGTTTTGCAACTCCCGTTGACATGTCGCAATACGATCTTGGAAAAGAATTGTCCTGCGCCCTTTCGAGAGTCAGTGCAATATGGAGTGCCTGCGCCTTTTGTGGTGTGTTGGCTGTGCCTGTGTGAAATAAATAGCTACGGTAGATTCCTGTTCGCATTGCCCACAGGACTGACTCAATCTTTCATCAAATTATATGGGTTTCTGCCATAAAACACCCCCATTTAGATACATTACTCTCTAAAGTTATCCCGGACGGAAAAGGGCATTTCTGGGATCTTCCGTTTTTCCACTACTAGCCTAGAGATGGAGCTTTTCCCTGGCACCTCCGTTTTGCTGACTGTCCCGTCAGTTGTAGCAGGATTGCTCCGCAGTACCCTGAAGATTCTTCTCTCCCCCCCCCCCATTCTTTGCCTAACTCCCGGGTTAACAATTTCGGCTCTTCAGCAATCAATTTATTTTGGTCGCTCCTAAAATCTATGCCGATTTTAGGGAAAATAGGTGGTATTCCCCTCCCCCCTCCAATCCCAGATTGCCGTTTTCCGTTTCTCATAGCGTGTCGTCCGCCCCCCTCCTCCCCAAATCAACAGCTAATTAGCTTCCATAGTCTCTCTAGACCCAACTCAGGCAGTTATCTTTCTTCTACGCGTTGCATTCCTGCGTCTTCCGTGGGATCGAGACCCGAGGACAGATAATGCAACCCTTGCATCAACGCAGGCGCCCATATCTGCCGCCTTGGCATCCTGCCCGTTCTCCGCCTTTCCAGCTTCTCCCGCTCACCTTCCACTCTACTTCCTAGAGCTCGTCACACCCCTCTCTTTCGACTTTTTTTTCCCCTCTCTCCCGCCCTGTGCGCGCGGCGTCAGTTAAAGTGGCCGAGCTGCACTAATCAGGTGTGATAATCGAAGAGATATTCCTGATGTTCGGGAAAATGAAAGCCCAGGGGCCTCTTTTGAAGGAGATCGCAGCTAGACGAATTATTTTATGCATGTATCAAGAGATTAATCCGGATTTAAAGACTTAAATTAATTCCGCGGCGAACTCGAAAAAACTGTTGACTCTCAAAAGGGAAGGTAAAGTGTCAGAAAGCCCACACAAAGGACTTTGCATTTTCCAAGTTAACCCCCCCAAATCCGCAATCTGTCCCGGGATTACCCTCTAAAGTTACCAGAGCTTCCAATCCAAACACTCAGCGCCATTAGTCACCCCAAAAGCTCTTCTCCCGTGGCAGGAGGACTCCGTGGCAAGGGAAAGTAAACACAGAAATAAGAACATTAATTAGGTGCTTTTTGGGGCTTCCGTGGCTTCTGCGGACGGTCCTCTTTGCTGACAGCACCCCTGAAGTAAATGCTTAATCCTTCGGTTAACTTTTTCGTCCTCCTGGGTTGGTCCCCGGCATTGAAAATCAGGGGTTCTGGGCTGCATCGCGCGGGTAGGACCAGGCAGAGGGTGGTCTCCATGGCCCTGCCGCTGCTATTACATTGGGACTGCATTCGACCCTGGCACTGCCCGCATGGAAGCACTTCGAAACCTTACGGGCGGGGGAGGGGACCGAGGGTAGTTTGCTGAGCAACGGAGCAGCCAAATCTTTGCTAACACGCATACGCACACCGTCGCCTGCAAAAGGGAAGGGGGGGGGAGGCAAAGCCGCTCCTCAGCCCCTCCTCCTTCAAGTCCTCTCCCTTTCCCCTTTTACCAGCCCTCGAAAGCGCCGAGCCAATCGTCTAGCCGCGTCCCCCTTTGACAGGCAGCGAGGTCCCCGCCTCCTCTGACGTCCCAAGCAGGATTTGCATGAGTTGCGCTGCTGCGAAAGGCTGCAGCTCAGTCGTCTGGAAAGGCGAAGTGAGTGGCGAGGAAGAGTCGTCTGTCTGCAGGACGCAAAGCCCCGGTTCCCCTCCTCCGGATCGCGTCGTTGTCCTCCCCCCCCCCCCCCGGAGAACAATTCTACAAAAATGGAGCTGCCGGCGGTGGGGGAGCATGTCTTCGCGGTGGAAAGCATCGAAAAGCAGCGAATGCGGAAGGTGAGCGACCAGCCAGTCTTGAAGCTCAAGGGTGGAAACTGGAGAACAGCCGAAGGGAGGTTGAGGGAAGCCTCCCAGAGATCTCTCCGGATCCTGACATCTTTTATCCTTCTCTTGCAGGGCCGAGCGGAATATCTCGTCAAATGGAGGGGATGGTCCTCCAAGTAAGTCCCGGGAAGGGAATCGGGCTCTGTCCTTAACGCGGGCTCCCGTGTCGGATTCAGCCCCCCGCGAATATTCTGCCATGCTCCAGGAACCCCAAAAGTGCCTTCGTTTTTATGCATGGGTTAAAAAGGGAGAGCTCATTAATTGGGGAGGCGGCAGAATAGAAAGAGGCCGGGGGTGGTGGTGCAGAGCCAGCAGCTTCAGGGGAGGAAGGCAAGGCGGACTGATGTGCAGCAGTTGCAGAAAATGGCTCCTTTCCCTTGGAAAGCAGGCTCCATATTGCAGAACCGAGCAGCCCCGGAGATCGGGGAGGGGGAGGAAGGGAGAGAGGGAGGAGAAAACCCATTTTAAAAAAAACCAAAAAACACCCATGCTTGAAATCCTTGAATGTACTCGGGATGAAGAGGGCGGCGAAAGGCGATCACTGTCACCAGGTTGCTGTCCTGCTGGCAGTGAAGCTGCGCATTTAACCTGAGCAAATCCTCCGCTTGGGCTACTTTTGCTGGATCGAAGGAGCTGCAAATGAACTAAGGGATATGGAGCGGGGCGGGGGAGGGGTGGTTGAAGTCTGAAATGATGGAGTCTGTCCGGGAGTGGGGGGGGAGAGAGAGAGAGAGAGAAGGGGCCGTCAGATTTAGAAATAGCGGAGGGAGGGATAAGCCTGGGAGTCTTTTTGGCCGGCTCCCTGAGGGGATCGGCGGGGCTTTGAACCCCGTCCTCTATAATATGCATGGAATTCCTCTGGAATAATAACTGCACTAAATAAACAGATCGGCATAACCTCCCTCCCTCCCGCCAACCAACCCATCCCCCTCCTCGGGTTAGCGCCAGTCCTGAATGCGCAGTTTGAAACAGGTCCTAGAAAGCGGGGGGGGGGAGGGGGGAGCGATGACTATTACAGCCAGCTTCTAAAATGGCCCCACCGCCCAGAGATGGGATGTCTGCGAATAAGGGCTCCTTTTCCGAATAGCGCTGCATGAATAGTTAAGCTATTTTTAATGTCTTGCAATAGTCCAATAATGCCATGTTTTCATCTTTTGCAAGATATAACACGTGGGAGCCCGAGGAAAATATCCTGGATCCCAGGCTGCTAATCGCTTTTCAAAACAGGTGAGTTCGCCTCGTCGTGGGAGCTTGGGGGTTGCTGACGCGGGGGAAGTCTGGCCCGATCGGGCTTCTTCGGAGAAGAAGGAGGAAGCCTCCAAACAGTCGTCCCTGCAGCGCGGGTGGGGGGGGGGGAACACGAAGGAGCCCGCGGCGGTGGAAGAAAACGCCCCCTATTTCGGCTGTGCAGGGCAAATCGGCGGGAGCGTGGCAGCCTTGTGCAAGTCGCGCTGCATGTTACGGAACTTCAGTTTTAACCCCTGCTTCGCTGCGTGGCGGGACTTCCTTTTGCAGCGTGAAGTTGCCTGGTTTAAGCTCGCTGCTGGCTTGTGGCGCCTGCACGTGACGGAAGGGAGAGGCGGCGGGGTGTGCGCCGCCTGAGCCCTGCTGCTTCTGCGCTTGGGCAGCTTTTTTGCTAAGCCTCCCCGGGTGGAATCGCCACCGCAAAAGTGCCCGCGCATGAGGCCCCGTCTCGGTGACAGCTCGCAAAATGCATGCATACCGGGCGGGGCTTGGGGAAGCCTAGGAGGAGCATCGCGAAGGTTGAAAGGCTGGGCTGCACACAGCACAACACAACACACACGGAGAACACACACACACACACACACCCGCCTCTATCCCTGGCTGCGCGCGCCTGATTTCCTGCAGGATCTTGACCTCGAGGCAAATGCCATCTTCAAGCCTTGAGGAAGAGGCGGCGACGGTATTCTTGCTCTTTGCCTTTTTCCCCGAGTTCCCAAAATGTTGCCCGGAGCCTGCTTGGAGGCTCTGACCTAACCTTATTCCTCTCTGCCTTGCAAAGGATTAAATGCGGGGTGGGTGGGCGTCGGGAACCGCGGGTCCTTAAATTGCAGGGAGTGAGGAGAACCTGCACCCCTTGCGTGGCTTCGTCTCCCGCCCTTCCTCCCGTTTGTGGCGCTCTGGGCAGTCGCGGTGAGCAAAGGCCGCACTTGGTCGGGGAGACGACCTTCCCCCTCCTGCATTAGGTCGATAATTTGGTTCATTTGCCGTTAAGCAAACCGGAAGGGGGGAGCAGAATCCCCACCCTTCGCCTTGTCAGCGAATGAGCGGCCTCTGAGGCTGCGGTGTGGAGAAGGGCCTTATCATATGAATCCTAATGAGGTGATTAGCATCCAGTGCAGCGCCCACTGCAGCCGCCCTGGCAGTGCCTGGGTGGGAAGTTGGATGCTTGTTGCTGATAGTTCCTACAGCACTGCAGCCTGTTCTTCTTCTGGGCCGCTTGTCTGGTTTGCTGTTTCCTGCAATCTATTGCATTACTGCTGTTTGTACAAAATCTGGATTTGTCTTTTGGAGCCTTGCCTGCCTTTTTTATATGTCATGCTTGAGTACTGTTCTGCTTAATGTGACCCAGCTTCACTGACCTCAAAAGTAACTGCTGGTTTGTTCTTGAATGGGAGACCACCAAAAAACAGATTTGGTATTAGAGGAATGCTTCCTATGACAAAGAGTGAATGGGGCAAAGCAATGGAAGTGAAGAATAGTTTTTCATATTCTAAATAGTTTTATTTGGCTGGAAGCAGCTGTGTTTTCCAGGAGATTTGAAGGGCTGGCTTGCACATCGGAAGCTTCTTTGCTTTCAAATAAAAGCTGGTTGTTTGGCTAAGAACATATCTGTAGCGGTAGAAGTTTCATAGAATCTGGTGGGACTTACTTTTGGGGATATTTGTAAAGCAGCAGTATCAGTAAACTCAAGAGTTGGCTGGCAGGTTCAGATTCAAATTTTTAACTAAATAGTAGCCAGTTTATAAATCGAGGTTGCAAAGGCCTTCAGAAGAAGTTCTGGTTTCTGCTCAATTGAAATTTGAGCAGATAGATGAATGGTTTGTAGGAAATGAAAATAGCTGAAATCTAAACTGGCTCTTTTGGATGTCTGAGCAGCACTGATGACATTCTGGACACTGTGGGGAGGAGAAATTTTCAGACTTGCCTGTGTCTTCGTAAAAGTTTTAAAAGACTTTTTTTTTTGTCTTAGTGATTTATATTTGGAGTGTGCATGCCTGTATTGTAGCTCATTCCTGTGTCTTTGATGTATGACAGAATTCCCCCCCTCCCCCAATCTTGGCTTTTCCACTTTCTGATCTACCCATTTAATATGTGCTGTATGAAAATACATAATTGCCCCTCCCTTCCTGCTTATTTCTGGATGTCATTGCTCTCTATAGCACAGGCCCTTGAGGGAGCCATGCTTACTGACTGGTATTAATTCCTGTGACCTTTCAGTGTTTCCTCGTGTTTCCTGTAGTCTCTTCCTGCTGCTGTGTTCTAAACACTCAGGGCGGCCCCATGTGTCTCTCCTTAAAAGACACACTGATTCAGTGACGCTTATTCCCAGGAAGTCTGCCTAGGATTGTCACTTTCATCTTCTGTCTGTATTAAACTAGCATGATAGTGGTCCATAAGTCTGAAGTCAAACATTTCTAATTGTATCTTTGTTGATTTTTTAAATCTTTCTTCAGGGAGAGGCAAGAGCAACTTATGGGATACCGCAAGCGAGGACCAAAACCAAAGCCACTGGTAGTTCAGGTAAATTCAATTAATTGTGCTGCTTTTCTTTCATTGGAGTAAAATGAAATAATCTATACTAAAAGTGAAAGTAATTGACTCCTGAAGGTAGAATCTTGCTGAACAGGCTGACTTGTTTTTTTTCTCTCTCTTTTTTTTTTTTTAAAAGAGAGGCTTTGTTGGTGACTAGTTTGTTTTCCTTCAATTAATTAATATTCCCTTCCTTTTCTAGTGTATATCCCAAGGGGGAAAATTTCATCTTGATTTCATCATGTTCTCAGAGACCCATGTGCACACTTGCCTTGTTAACTATAAATGCCTTAGGAAGCCCTGTTCTACCCATTCTTTGTCTTTTACAACCAGCTCACTTCATAACAACAGCTTCAGAAGGCCTCAAGGCCAGTGCAAACTCTAACATGGCACAATATTTGTCAGGCTTGGGCTGAATCCTGAAAGTCCATAACTGTGTCTTCCAGATTTAAAAGGGTTTCTGGGAAGCAGCTGAATGAAGCCTGTTGCCTACAACTCACTGGCTTGCCTTCTCTAACAGAAATCCTTGCAGTTAGGAAGGATGATGCCTAGTTGGGTTATAAGGATTAGCAAAGCAAAGGGCCAAGGAAGAACTGGCCAGAGAAAAGGCATGCAGCTGCAATGGGTAGGATGTTTTGTTCATCTGTATTCCTAGCTGCTGCTTTTCCTTGCCTTGCCACATTTGCTGCTCATGTAGTATTTTTGCGTTTATGCTCAAAGGGCTGATTGGGTGAAAGAATGCCTTATTTCTTCTGCTCTCCTGTATAGCTCTGTCAGGGGAAGGTTACAGCAAGAGCATCCCTTTATCATGACTTCGTAAAGTCTTCTGAGCTGCCAAGCCAGATGCTTGTTCTGATCAGTTCCAGAAGCTTTTCTGAAATTCCTAATCTATATTTTCCTCCCCACTTACAGCTGCCATCTTTTGCACGTCGCTCTAATATCCTCAGCGGCCTGCAGGACCCAGCCGTGGAGAACAGGCCCAAGCTGGATCTCAGCAGCTCAGGCAAAAGCCAGCAGCATCAGTACGAACTCAACAGCAAGAAGCACCATCAGTATCAGCCCAACAGCAAGGAGAGCAGCATCAAACACCAGTCGCACAGCAAAGGGAAGTACTACTATCAGCTGAACAGCAAAAAGCACCACCACTATCAGCCGGACCCCAAGATGTATGAACCTCACTACCAGCCTAACAACAAGGAGCCACAGCAAGGACAGGCCTGCTTGGAGCACAGCAAAAGCCCGTTAATGTCCCAGTCAGACAAGTGGTCCCATGGCTCCACAAAGAGTTTGCTGAATCCTATCAAGAGTTTGACTGGGGTTGAAGGAAAGAACGGGGCAGAGAAGAACCTCTCCAATGGTACAGGGCCACCAACACCATCTCCCCGGGAGGGCGTGACCAGCAATGGCATTGGTGGCAAAATGAAAATTGTGAAGAACAAAAATAAGAATGGACGCATTGTGATTGTCATGAGCAAGTACATGGAGAATGGCATGCAGGCAGTAAAGATTAAGTCTGGAGAGCCCCCAAAGAAGCGGGTGGCCGAGGAGAGGACTACTAAGAGAGCGTCGGAGGAGAGACAGGACTCCTGGAAAAAGCCCGGGGAGGAGAGGTGGCTGAATAGTGCTCTCAGAGGGAAAGCTGGCACAGAGGTCAGTCAGCTTCCTTCTGAGATAGGAAGCAGCCCTTCCAAGACAGTGGCTTCCAGCCAAGAACCACCTGTTCCTGAGCAGCAGCCTTTGCAGCTGACCACCAAGCCCAACCTGGTTGCCTGGACCCTGGATCCCAGCCAGCAGGAGCAGACTTCCCCTACCCCAGGACTGAGCCTTTCACCCAGTTACAGTGGCTCCCGGAAACGCTGCCTTTCTGAGCCCCATGGAGACAAGGAGAGTGGCAAGAAGCGCCTCACTTCCCGGAGCATTAGTGCCCCCACCTCCCTGAACTCTCCTGCCCCGGAAAAACTCGAGTCCCCGGCCTTTCCCACCTCTCAGCCTGAGGTCATCCTGTTGGACTCTGACTTAGATGAGCCCATAGACTTGCGTTGTGTCAAGACTCGGGGGGACAGGGAGCTTGGCTTAGTGCAGGTGAAGCCGGAGATTGTGCCAGTGTCACCAGAACAGTCGAGGCCAGAGCCGGAAAAGCAGGTGGAGCACTTTGAAGTGGAGGAGGAAGAGGAGCCCGTGCAAGAGTTCAAGCCTTTTTTTGGGAATATAATAATTACAGATGTGACTGCAAACTGCCTGACAGTGACCTTTAAGGAATATGTGACAGTGTGAGGAGCTTAGGGGCAAGCTCTTCCTCCTGTCTCTCTCCCTAGGCAGCCTGGCTCCTCCCCTAAGATACCGCTCTACCCGGAGAAACTCTTTGGCACTGCGGAGCAGCAGCAAAGAGCAGGTCCTCTTGAGATCAAACACACTTCGCTGCCTGGAAGAAGGGAGGGTCGGGTGCAAGGCTTCCCCTCAGCCTTCAGGGCTTCCTGCAAGGTGCTCTTCGCCTGCCAGAATCTCGGGCATCAGGATGCATCGAGGGGTGCCGGCTCCCCAGTTAACTCACGGGAGAAGAGTTCTATAGTATTATATTTTAACAGTGCTAACTTGTTCAGTGGTTCATGCTCCCGTTTGTATGTGGTGTTGCTAAAAAATGTATTGTTTGAACTGAAGGCAGGCCTCCCCAGGTGGGTCATGCAATTATATTTATTTGTAGGTATTTATATAATGAAATATAAAAAGCCTAGATTTATGGAGTTCCCTAGAATGCCCTATATATATATATAATTATATTAAATACATATATATTATATATATATAAAAAGCTATATCAGAATATTTTCTTTCTTTCCCTTTTTAAAAGCCACCTCTTTTTGATTTCCTTGCTCCTTGTTTTTGTAAAACTGCAGGACCATCATTCATATATATATATATATATACACACGGGATGTGTGTGTGTGTGTGTGTGTATGTATATATGTATATATACAGTATATATGTATACATGCACACATACACACATTTTTCTATCTCAGTGTGCAACCCCCCCAAATCATCTAAAGCTATTATAGAAATTGCTGCTACTAGAAATGTCTAAACTATACGCTTCCAATTATTATGAATTGCTTGAATGTAAATATTAAATGGTAATATGTGGAAAGTGCATTTGATGTTCTGCAGCTGGCCTAGGCCGGGATGGCAAAAGCTAGCTGTGAAGCAGGAGGGCCTCAGCCCCTGACAGGCACCTTGGTGCCTTCAGAAACCAGAGGGAGGAGGAAGGTAAACTCTGTGTCATGCAGTCATTACAAAGGTCTATAAACCTTTCAAAAAATGACAGGTGGTGTGGAGTCCTTTTATTGAAACATTTGGGATCCTGGCTGCAACACATACAGTTCAAGTGGCCAACCTGGTTGCTTGCTTTTCAGATGCAGACGAGAGAGACTCGGGTAATAACCTTGTGGTGCCACAAACAGAACTTCATGACATACGAAGTTCTCAGAGTCCTCAAAAGCTGGGCTTGCAAATTATAGGTAAGCAGTTTTGCTGTGGAATGCTTTCTGAAATAGTGCAAGGAAAAGGGAGGAGCCACACACATTTATTATCACCAAACTGGTTCGTACATAATGACCTGGAACATGCTATTATCTTGCCCATGGTGTTCTATATGTAATAGAAAACATTATCTTAAGTCAGTTTTAATTTCTTAAGAAAGCTTAAATATAATGAGTCATTGAAATGAAATGATAGTAAAAGGCTTCTTTCTCCACTGCCTGTGACATCTAAGCCTTAAGAATGATTTATTTTGAACGCGGTGGGTGCTCTGCCCTGTTAGGTTGGGGTGTGTGCAGGAAGGTGAATTTTACATCGGTAGCATTTACCAAAATCGTTCTAACTAGATTTCCAACTATAGTCACCAGAATGCTGCTCACCATTAAGCAAACAATGCCTTTGCTTTTGCCTATTCTTGCATGTCATGCAGAGATAAAGAACATGGCACAGTTAGTGGGTAGCAGCAGCAGCAGCAGCAGCTTATTTGCTGTAAAGGTTATTGAGAAAGCCAAATAACAGTCTTCCTCAAAGAATGCGGTTGAGCTGTGGTAACTGAAACCCCTGGTTCAGAGAATGTTTCATAACCCCAAAGTAATATATCTCTTGTCTCTGAAAAATCAAAATTAACTGAAAAGAAGCTCTCCTACCAGATGTCTCCAGGATAAGTCCTGATCAGCAGAATGGAAGGTGCTAGCAGCCTGTATCTCAGCAAGTTGTTGGTTTCTCTAATTCAGCATTGTCAGTACCAGCAGGAAGGCTGCTTGGGGCTTTGTGCTTGCTAAGCATGTATTTGGTCTCTGAACTAAGGAGTGTGGCAGAATTCATTAAAACTTGGGCCTGAGCTCTAGAAGCATGGAGGATACACCAGATCTGAATCTAAATAATAATCAAGGTTGAAACACTTTGCTGAAGATATTGGGTTCTGTGGGGGAGGATGATGGAGACAGTCTTGTGAACACAATGACAAGGAAATTACACTTCTCTGTTTGGGAATGGTTTCATCTTGCCCTGCGGTAGATAATAGATGTTTAAGGCAGCCATCCCATCGCTGCAAAGCAAATAAGAATTTGAAGGAATTAATGCTAATTCCCATCTGAGTAATCAAAGATGCTAGCTAGGGTGAAAAATCAATCCTTTCTTGGAAGCAAAATGAATTGAAGGCAGGACATGCTTTCCAAGAAGCACACCTTCAACTGGATTGTGTGTGTCTGACTCATGCTAACACCTCTCTGAGAAAGAGCGGAGGACTTTAATCGTGTCACAACATTGAACAACAGTTCATGGAAATTGAACAAAGTCTCTTTCAAAAAATGTTGGAAGAAGGATAAAAACTAACACAGTGGCTGTAATCTGTCCGATTAATGGCCTGATTTGGCTTAAAACTGCTCAAAAGCAACCCCCAATTTTTGGGGTTTTTTTTCCTCTCCTACATGTAAATATACTTCTTTTTTTAAAAAAAAAAATCAAACCTTTCTTCCCGAGCCAAATTCTTGTTAAATATAAACCAGTGGTAAGCTATTGCAATAATATGGCAACCTATATCTATACAGAAACAAGTGCCATTGAACTGAATTGGATTTCCTTCAGGTAAATGTGTATTGAGTTATGGTCTGTAAGAACAAAGTTGGATTTCCAAATTAAAATTTTAAGAATTTTGGGGAAACTCAAGGGAAAAATTTAATATATTTTTTTTAATTAAATTATGTTCCTATCTTCTGCCTCATCAGTTTCTCATAAATTGATTTATCACATTTATTCCTAATTTAAAGGTAGAGAGAAATTGAAGAAAAGCCCTTTTATTTTTCAAAATAAAAATGCTGTGTTCCCATCCCCTGCTTCATCTGTTTCTCATGAGTTAGTTTATTTATACCCAACTTGAGAGAGAATTCTGGTTTCTGAGTCTCAAGCTAAGGGCTGAGTTTTTTTAAAAAAGAAATCAAACAGGTTCTTGTCTACTGATCCTTCACTTAAAAAAAAAAACAGGAAGAGAAAAGACACTCAAGAGTCAAATCGGTTACTGAATTGTGGATAAGACAAAGTTCTTTGGATTTAATTGCTATAGTATTGTCAAGTGTAAAACATATTTTTCAAAAACCGAAAAAGTACCAAACCATAAAATGGAATATGCCCCTCACAGCTCCTGTATTGTGCCACACTTCCTGTATCAGAAATATGTCAGTGGTTATGAGATGAATCTTCCTGTTTCTCTGGCAACCCTAATTACATTTAATACCTTTAATCATTGGTGGTTAGCAGTTTGTGCAAAATGCATTATTGCTTGTATATTAAAAACAGCTTAATTGCAACTTGTTTTAAGCTCATCCAAGTGCTTGCATACTCCCTTCTCCATATCACCTAACCCCTGACTGATCTGAACAGAGAAGCTGAAAAAGCCCTGAGTATTTTGGCAGAGTTTGTGGGGTGTTTTGATGAACGCCATTTCCTGTAAGCATTTCTTGCACCAAAGAAGTACAAGTAACTGGCAGGCAGCTTCAGGTGCAGCTGAGATAGGAAGTAGGCAAAACGGATGGGGCTCATCCGCTGGTCAAATAGCGAAGAAAGAAACTATATTTTTAGTGTGTGATATTTGCTGTTCAGATTTGCTTGCTGGCAGCTGGAGACCAGCGCCTGAACAGTAGTAGTTGTGCTCATACCCCTGCAGCTGGCCACTTCTTGTGAAATGAATGCAGCAAATGGGAAGATACAGTAGATAAAGGGCTTTAAATCGGGTTATGGTTTGGTCACAAGCTGCATCAGAGAGTTAGACAACATGGTAGATCTTCATTATGCTTAGAGCAAAGTTATTAAATTCAACTGAGTTTATTCATCTCATTTTAATGTCAATTTAGATCTGTTAGAGAATTTAAACCACTGCACTAATTATCTCAGAAGTAAATATCTCATTCATATTTAGATGAAAGGCCATCACACAAAATCCTAAGGCTGTAAACTAGACTGAGAAGTTGAAATAACATCCCATGAGAAGACAGTGTCCGTCCTATTAGCCCCAGGACAATTTCAAGAAATCAATTAAGGCCTGTCCGTGAAGTCATCAGAAGTTCAGCTCCACGGTGTCTCTGTTGGGACCAGTGTAGTACAATGGTCAAATTGTTCAAAAGAATGAGGAAACCAGTTTGAGATCACCTTTGATTATGGAAGCTTTCTTGATTACTTTAGGCCACTCACTTTCTCACCTGCCTGCCAAAGAAATTGTGGGGAAAAATAAGGAAAATGTGCAATGTATATCATTTTGGGGTTTAAAAAGTATAAATAAATAAATACTTTTACTTACAGAATTCATCTCAGGGGAATTTAGAGTAGCCTAAACCAAGCAGCCAGTCCCCCACCCAACACTAATTAGTCTACAACCTGCTTAGTTTTAACATTGTCTAGGCCAAAATTGTGACAATTCTGTAAGATGAGAGGAGATGAACAGCTACTGAAGTCTCAAATGCATTTTCTTAAGTGTGAGTTGCTTGATGTTGACTCTGCAGTAGGGACTTGTGGGAAATCCTAAAGCACTGGAATCAGGCATTCTGACTGGTATCTGAGGAGTGCCACTGTATGCTAAAGTGGTCGGACACAGATGTCTGTGGTGCCTTGATGGCGCAGCAGACTAAAGTGCTGTTAAATAGCACCAGCTGCCTGAAATTACTGCAAGTTCAAATCTCACCAGGCTCAAGGTTGACTCAGCCTTCCATCCTTTCGAGGTAGGTAAAATGAGGACCCAGATTGTGGGGGCAATAAGGTGACTGTATAAAAAAGAACACCGCTTAGTGGGGGCCGAAAGCCCTACTAAGCAGGTATATACAAAAGTATGAAGGCTATTGCTTAACGCATTGTAAGCCGCCCTGAGTCTCCGGAGAAGGGCGGCATATAAATCAAACCAATAAATAAATAAATAAATAAATAAATGTCAACATGAGTGCACCGAAAATAGGAAGATTCAGTACAAGAAGCCACTCCTGTTGAGATTCCATCTTCTGCCTATATTATAAACATGCAGAAAGACATATTTCCTCCTATAAGTTGCTACAAGCCGTCTAGATAACAAATGGAATGAATGATTGGATTGACATACTGTGCTAAACTATAATGTGATTGATTTTACATTGTGCTTGTAGCATGAATGCATCTCTATTAGCTTGTTAGCTGTGACTTATGATTTAATACATTGCAGCCAGACATTAATAGCGTATTCTGCAAAGTATGATCCAAGAAACCAGAATGTAATCCAATATATGAATACAGCCCATATAAAAGCAAGTTAGCTCATTATTCCACACACTGAAATATCTAGGAAGGGTACATATCGCACTAAAACCGTATGTGGCTTGTTTGGATTTGGCTCAGGATTTCTACAAACCCATTCAATTGTTTCTTATTCAGTAAATCATAAGTAAGTACATTATGACGAAGAATCAGCTCTGAAGTTGGAACGCTAAATTGTCATAAGAGTTTAAGAGGGACCAATTTGTGTAATACATAAGGGGGGGGGAATCAGCTCTGGGACAGCTGTTTGTACAGTTTATTAGACTCTGTGATCTGGGTGGGGCAATTTCTCCCTTCTCCCAGCTGTGTGATATAAATGGAAGAAGATGCCAAGGGCATTCCTCTGGCTTGCATTTCTGGCACATTCTCTCTGCTTCCCAAGTGAAAATAAGGGATTATCTGTCCAAACATATTTTCCCTTACAAATATTTGTGAAACGCGTTTTGACAGAATCTTGGAATTATTTTTTTCAGTTACGGCATTTTAGCATCCAAAAATCTAATGTTTTGGGGTTTTTTTTTAAACAGTCATGAATGTGCTTAAATTATTAACCTTGCTTATGTTTTTATCAAATTGTCAGCTATCATTTAGAGTTGCCACTATAAAAAAAAATTCCTTCATAAACGAAAAGGTGGAAAGAAACATTTTTCTCATGGTGGAATTGAAGGGCACAGCAATCATTCGTCTTACTTTAGGTTCATAGCTTTGGAATGGCACACTTGTTTTCTGGTTATTTATTGATATTTCTATCTCACTATTATTATTTTTCTAAACAACTCAAGGCAGCAAACATACCTAATACTCCTTCCTCCTCCTAGTTTCTCTACAACAACAACCCTGTGAGGTGGCTTCGGCTGAGAGAAAGTGACTGGCCCACCTGGCTTTCAGTCTGGCAGGACTAGAATTCACAGTCTCCTAGTTTTTAGCTAGGTGCCTTATCCATTATTGCCATACCAGTGGTTTTTCAACATGTTTTTCTAGTTTTATACAGCACCACTAAGCCAAAATTAAAAGCCACTCAGAGTCATCTCAAATTGCGAGATGGGTGGCACATAAATTTAATAAATAAAAATAAATAATCTATGACACTGGCTGAGTCCTCAAATATGCAAGGTTAAACTGTTGTTGTTCACATATGGTTCAGCATATCATCCAAGTGTATCCAAGACAAATTATATTACTTTACATTAGATCGCAGTTAAAATTATACAGAAAGGACTAGTATAACTAACATTGTTTTCAGTGGTGGCTTTCAAAATTTTTTACTACCAGTTCTATGGGTGTGGCTTGGTGGGCATGGCATGGTTTGGTGGGTGTAGCTTGATGGACGTGGCAGGGGAAGGATACTGTAAAATCTCCATTCCCTCCCCAATCCAGGGGAAGGTTACTGCAAAATCCCCATTTCTTCCCGATCAGCTGGGACTCGGGAGGCAGAGAATAGATGGGGCGGGGCCAGTCAGAATTTTTACTACCGGTTCTCCGAACTACTCAAAATTTTCACTACCGGTTCTCCAGAACTGGTCAGAACCTGCTGAAACCCACCTCTAATTGTTTTGCTTCTTTAGTTTAACAATTTCCCCAGGGTTATTGGGGTTGTAAATGCTTTTCAATATGGCAGTAGAATTGCAATAATCTGAAGCTGGCAGGAAGAACTTCTGAATGTGGGGATGATAAAACCAAACCACATAACTAGCTTCTCAGACTTTGGCTGAAAAATAAATGAACAATCCAAAATATTAATTCTTGGCTGCTTTTTCCTGTCATTCAGAGTTTTGCAGCCTAGTAGCCCTACCACAAATAACGCTTTTTAATCTTGATGGCTCTACTCCAGTAGTGGATTGCTCCCGGTTCTGTCCGGTTCTTTAGAACCGGTAGTAAAAGCAACAGGAGGCTCTGCCCACCCGCCCGGATATCATAATTGACAATTTGCACATGCGCAGAAGCGCAAGCTCAAGCACATGAAGCAAGCGCACATGCGTGCTCCTGTTGCAAACCAATAGTAAAGGTAAGTAGAACCCACCCCTGCTCTACTCTCAGAGAGATGTTATTTTTGGTAGAATTGCACTAAGGCAACGCAACGTGAAATGCACAAATCTGAAAGACAGAACTTCATTCAACTTTCTAAAATCTTGTAGGAATGATATGGTCTGCTTGCTTGGTCTTGGCCAATAAATACAATTTTTTTTTCCTATGTAATAGTTAAAAAGTAGGTATTTTAAACTAACTATATTGAAGGAAAAATGAGAAGGGGACAGCAGAGGATGAGCTGGTTAGATAATGTCCTTGATGCAATGAACATGAATTTGGAAAAAACTCCAGGAGACAGTGGAGACTTGGCATGCTATGGTCTAGAAAGACACAATTTAGCGATTGAACAACAATAAGATACTTTGGATATTCACACTTTTATGTAGGCACAGATATACCCATCAATTACTTGTTTTTTTTTTACAATCAGTGATATTATGCAAAGAGTAAGAAGTTAAAAGCAAATTAAATCATAAGATATGACAAAAATGCACACCTAAATCACATTTACACCAACTTTATTCACCAAT